AAACAGTGAAACTACAAACGTTGAATGATGAATGTTATACTACTTATATTATTGGAAAACAGTAGGATGTTATCATTCATTGTTTTTTTTGTTTTTTTTTTGTTTTGACAATAGACTGTATGTTATGTGATGAAGGATTGTACAGACATTTTAAAATTCATTTTGAATATATCATGAACGAAATATTAATTCTCAATTGGTAATTATTATAATCAGTAATGTAATTTACTAGTCTTTGTCGTCATATATATATCATATTATCAGAAGGGGTTTGTGGAGATTTTAGAAATTTCACAGATTTAAATCATGAGTCAGTTGAAGCTAGACCACCATGGAAAAGCCTGAAAGCACTGGAAGGCCGTTTCATCCTAGTGTGGGACTCCTCAGCAGTGCGCGTCCATGATCCCGCACCCTACGGGACTTGAACCCAGAGCATACTGGCTTCGCTTGCGAGCACTTAACCATTAGACCACTGAGCCGGCATCCAACAGTGTTAACGTCTAACTTCAACCAATCCACGAAGTTGTGCCACCGTATACCATTGTCTTCAGTGAGTTGATATCTCACAACAGACCTGGTTGAACTCCACTGGTAACGGCCTCCTACTAGAACTCCAGGAGTATCTCTTGAAGTCAGTCACTAGTAAGCACCCGTTACCTCATGATTTCAATCTGTGAAATATATATCATTTCCCGAATAGATTAATTTCCTATTAGCGTATTTTCATATTAGTTTTTGTCACTGTTATATCTTATGAATCTGTGTGCCCTATTATTGTATAACGCAACGGATTATCGATCGAACCAGTGACTCATAAAACACATGCGAGCAACCTAAAGTCCTGACTGATCTCGCTCCCTGTCTAGCACAGCCAGTTAAGTCCAAGTCATTAAATCTCTGCCTCTGCAATATGAATCATTATATTCCAAACATGCAGGGTTTATATACCAATCAAACCGACCACAAAGTACCATGAAATAGAAAATAATATTTGTACAATATCTGACCAAAAGTGACTGTGAATGAGGGAGATAGTAATTGGTAGACCAGGCATAACTCAAGAATGGTAAATCGTATAATATAAGTTCATGGGTGAAAATAAAACTCATAATAAGAGGGACATGAATATGAACAGTTTAGCTACATAACAAAAATATACTCATGGTATTGATCCATAGTTGGATCCCAAAAATTACAATTCATTATTCTTATCGGGATATAACAATCACATTTCACAAAGGATTTGTAGTAGAATCTAGCTACTGTGTTCTATCCCATTTAGAACTTGTCAGCTGGAGATTAATTTATCAATGGAGCTATTCCTATATAATCAAATAAGTTCTTCTCATATCATGGATTTATGTTGATTTTTCTTTATCGAGACCGTGAATCGATTCATGTTAGACTACCATTGAAAATCTGGAATAACTGAATGACTGTTTCATTCTATTATGGGACTATTCATCAGTTTGCATACACGATCCTGTTTAAAGGATTTGAACTCGGGACCTTCGATTTCACGCGCGAGCACTTAATCTCTACACCATTGAGCTGGCATCCGACGTTGTTAGTGTCTAACAACAACCAATCCACGAAATCGCGTGACCACCTTCCATTGTACTGAGGTAGATCCCTGTCTCTACCCGACACGGATTAGCTCCACTGGTCATGGCTTCTCGCTAGAACTCCGAGATTTTATTCACGAAACTGGTATTCTGAAAAGTATCTCAGTATGGCGATACTGACACAATCAGTAAATAAGCAGATAAACCTGTTATAAATAAAAAAAATGGAGGATGGCTAGCAGTGGAATAGAGGACGCGTGTTTCGTCTTGTATGAGACTTGCCAATTGAATGTATATGCATCCCAGAGTTGATATTTACTTCAGAACTCGGACCCAGTAACGTTCAATTCAATCTTCATTCAATGTTAGACGCTATTCATCCTTGCTTAGAATCCTTATGACTTAAGGCAATATCGAGGCTCTACCACTATGTGATTTAAGTCGATAACTGCATCTTTGTGGTAATGTGGTGTGACAACTCGAACTGATGTACCTACGTACGAAGGTCTGAGTTGTTACTGATTGACTGACTGACTGACTGATGGAGGCAATCCATACAAGATACACATATGCCAACAGAAGACTGATCAATTACAGTTCTAAACAATAAAAAATGAATTAAAATATCCCTGTTATAAATGTTTTATAAATGTCAAAAATCTTTATATTCAGTTATATATATATTTGACAAATAATTTGATGTATTGCATTAATTTCAGACATTGTTCCGAATTGCCTTTTTTTGGTCACCAATAAACTACTACAGAATTATATTCGAGTCAAATTATCATTTAAGGTGTATATTATGTTGAATAAAAATGAATATTTCATTTCAATGTTACAGAAAACTTGATCATATTTTGTTTTAGTTCTGTCTAACTTTTCTTTTCTTTGTTATTTTTTCGAGGAGAAACGTTTTTTTTTTTTATATTTTCGATAGGATTTAAACAGTTTAATATTTAAGGTATAGGGATGGATGGATATTTTGTCAGTAAACTAAGTGAACATTAGACATAAAACAACTTCAAACTGAAGTGATAGGATGCTAGTTAGTTAGAAGTAGATATGCATATATATATATGTATATATATATATATATATGCAATCAAAAAGGTTTTAGTTATTTCATTTTAATGAGTCGTAATAGTTGGTGGTTGGAGGTAGTCGACAGGGTTTCCTGTCGATTACCTCAAAACACCATCTAATCTCAATATATAATGCCCTCAGTGTCGAGTCACCTAGACTGGTGGCCACATTGCAACATGATCGATAGCATTCGATGTGCACTAATAAGGACTAGACACGCACGACATTGATCGCCACCCAGTGATCAATCAATTGAGTCGTAATAGTTTATGATTTATAGCTTATAGTTTATTAGTAGATTAGATATAGATGTGTCGCTGAATTTCGTGGATTATTTGATGTTAGACAATAACACCGTTGGATAAAGGCTCATTGGTCTGTAGGTTACACGTTCGTACGCGAGACTAGTAGGTCTTGGATTGGAATCCCAAGAGGTGGGATCGTGGGTGAGCACTACTGAAGAGTCCAATAATAAGATGAAACGGCCTTCCAGTGCTTCCAGGTTTTCTATGGTGATCTAGCTTCAATTGACTCATGATCTCAACTGATCAGATTCGATATTTGGTTAATAAAGAGAGGAGCAATAAATGATACACAATGCAAAATGACAAATATGTAAGAATTTTTTTTAAAAAAAGAACATGTGAAATTATGCAGTCTCCATTAAAACACAAAGCTAATATCATAAAGGATAAGCAAGGATTATACTTTTTATTACTACTATATTCCAAAACTCTAAAAATATCTCCACTAGTTTAAATTATGGATCATGTTTTATAACACCTGGACTTACTTGCCTACTTATGCCTGTTACTGCTAATCGAGCATAGGCCACCATCCAACATTCTCCAACCCACGCTGTCCTGGGCCTTCTTTTCTAGCTCCATTCGATTGTTGTTCAGTCTTTTCATGTCTGTTTCCATTTCTCGGCGTAATGTATTCTTTGGTCTACCAGTTCTCCTTTGGCCTTAAGGATTACATGTGATGGCTTGCTTTGAGACGCAGTTGTGTGCCTTCCTCAATGTGTGTCCTATCTACTTCCAGCGTTCCTTCCTGATATCTTCCTCTATTGGAATCGAGTTTGTCGAATACATGAACAGACTAAATAATATTATACTTTCTACTTCATCAAAAGAGTTAAAATGAAACACCAGTTGGTAACTCATTAAAAAAATGACCTTCATTCTGAGTCGTCAGTTCATAACGTGACTGTTTTTCCACTTATTCTACTAAAGGGTAGATATATTGCTTTAATCCCATGTGTATAAAATGACTTTATCAGCAAAATCAGAATTTTATGTGGTAACACTCATAGATTTAGGTTAACTGGTTAATGGTATCTTTAAATCAGTTGATTAAAATAATTATGAAATACGTTCGGGTGAAACTTTGCATTAACATTTCAAGGCACTAAAGTGACTGTACCACTTACGAAATAAGATATGATTTGAAATATCTTAAAGTATACATAAATAAATGTTATTTATCTGCACTCAAGATAATGAGGAAGATAATCATAGTGACCTATTAAAATCTATTGAGGTTTTATACCACAATAGTCATTCAAGCTTAAGGAAACTAAGTTAAATAGTGAAATATATGATTACTGATTAGGGAAATAATGCAATCATTATGCTTGTAAGTATAGTATCTAAAGACAAGTATTCTTTTATTTGTAATAGATTTGCTACAGGTATCAGTTCTTTTATAACCAGTACCTCAGGACAACTCTCAAGTAATCCAATAATTATGAATCCAGTGAAGAAAACAATAACGATAGTTATGATCACATGTAAATGGTGACCAAAATCTTTTAATAATTTTATTTGATCCCATCAGAGTTTTTTTTATCTTACATGTAGAGTTGTGTAACACCCCTGTTAATATTTACTCAAGTACAACCTAATAATTGAATACTTGATCTAAATAAATGAAATACTTTGTTCTATCCTATGGGCAGACTGGGTTATTTTACTCAACAACAGAGTCATTCAACGCGAAAACAATACTATAGAGTACTTTATAACTTATCAAAACCAGAAAAAAGCTAGTAATTAATATAGTTTCTATCGACTATGTCCTGTTTCAAATTTAGTGCAGTTACGAATCCAGAAGAACTAGTTGGCTAGTTTATGCGAGTTTTTGAACCTTTTAGAAGTGTCCGATCACTCAGCATTATCAAGGGTTTTAGCTTATTTTGAGTATATTCTAGTTTATATGGAGCCATCAATACTCACTATCAGTGAGACACTACTCAGTCCTTTACGTTTTTCTTAGCTGATATCAATCATTTATGTTTGAAATATTCTTTATTTTAATAATATTTTCGTATATCGTTTTTTTCTTCAGAATTCCCTACTTTATTCGCCGAATATGAATCACTAATCTGCAAATCTTAAAAATACCATTGCATCAGTGTATGAATGGTTGTAAAGAATATGAAAATGTATATAAAATGTAGAGTGTGCCTATGTATCGGTCTATTTTTCTGTACATATATTGTGAATAATATAGTGAATAGTGAATTTATGGAGATCCATAGTAAGTTTAATTTCCATATTTTTGTATTATGTCATTTTATATATACATATGTCATGAGCGATTTTGTGATAAGTGTTATGATATATGGATTCTGGTTAGCAAAACACTTAAAGACTTTGAAAGGAGAACGCTGAGTTTAACATGAAGCTACGTAACATTGGTGAATGTTTACTGTAAAATATTCAAAATTATGACATTAATCAATAAAGTTTACGCTTCAGGTCATTGACAAATTAATTTCACTTATATTATTTCAAGATTTGGATATCATTAAATAGCATCAAATTAAGTTGCGGGTTATTAAATATGTAGTTATTCAAAGATGGAGTTTTGTTCCCTGACCTGGATGGTTTGGTCGTGGAGCTTTCATCGCTCTTCTGAACGACATCATCAGCACAAACTTCAGATAGAAGTGAAGTGTTGCCATTGGGAGACACAGCCAAAACAAAGTAAACAATGAAAAATTTAAGGCTAGTAAGAACCAATCAACATTGAGGTATACAGAACAAGCTGTGAAATGCATATGAAGAAATTCGAACACTTCACTTCTATCTAAATTTTGTGCTGATGTCCTAGAAAATGAACTTGATGAAAAAGAAAAGTGATGTTTAATAAATCTTGAAACTGAAGAACTTGAAAATCACTGAAGCTGGTCGGAAGTCGCAGAATTTCAAGTAAACAGTGTCTATATCATCACATATTATTTCAAGTATTACATGTTAAAATAATAAACGAGCCTTATAATCAGTAGCATGAAAGAGTATAAGTATTTATAATTAACAAACAAATGTATTCAGTATTAAAAGTTTATGAATGACTGAGTTAGTACATGGAACTTAAATGAATATTATGGAATATCTTCAATATAAAAATAATACAACTAATATTGATGAAGCCGAGTACTGTGAGTTGAAAATATGCACACTTTCGATACAAATTCAACACAGAAGAAGTAGGCCATTTCATTGAGTAATTCCAAGCCCTAAGAGATAGCATAGTATACTAGATTTTCCCGAATCGGTTGTTTTAATGTTAAATTTTAGTTGTCGATTGCTTTTACCTTCAAAATCTGTCACCCGTAATCAAGAAAAACGGAAATTAACTGAATATCATGTTTTACACTAGTAGGTTGATCCAAAAGTTTGATTATTATTATTATTATTATTACTATTATTATTATTATTATTATTATTATTATTATTATTATTATTATTATTATTATTATTAGCTTTATTCAATATTATAATTTTGGTACAATATAGAATTCTCAGCGCAAAGTATTTCAACAAGTTTCCGTTTCTTTCTTCTTGGTCGGTCCTGGCGATAAATATTGAGGAATCGCCAGTTAGATGTTAGCACTTCAGTGAATGAACAACTGAATAATGTACATTCTTTTCGTTGTACATTGCCAGCAACCATATTGTCTCTTATTGAGTTTTCTGTAAATTTGACAACGAAAGGTTGTACACTTTTCAGAAACGCAGCAGAATAGGTTATGCGATTAATAAACATAATGATATATTAAAACAAACAACAATAGATAACTTGTTGAAATATCTAGATGGCAGGAACAGGTAGCCCAGATGCTCAAGCAGGCCGCTCGTCTACACTAGTAGGTTGATCCAAAAGTTTGATGACATATGCTCCGTTGAAACAGTAGTGGATAATTATTTGGGATCAAATAATTTTTGATATTTATCCTTGAAACGTTTTCAATCTGACCAGTCTCGTAATCAATATCTGTATACTTCATTTCATAATTCGACTTTATAAATAATCAATCGTTCTAAATTATCTATTTAGTATTACCGGTTTTTCTACCTTGAGTTATTGAAAAAGGAATATGTACCATTGCATAAGGCTTTTTTTACTACGTAAGATATGTAGTTCTGAATAGATATTGGAAAGTTTCTAAGCATTTGGTCAGTTTTCTTATAACAAGTATAAGCTATCCCACCTAATCACCAGTTTCTTTCTTATATGTTGTTGCTTGTCATCTAAAGTCGCAATACTTTAGAATTTGTGAACATGAGGATAACTTTTATTGGGGCTCTTATCTGATTCCAATTAGATCGTATGTATGATTACCGTCAAAATATACATACATCTTGACTAGTCTATATCGACTTAACTCGCGTTAGTGAATAACGGAATTAAATAAGTCGAATACAAGAATGGAATTTTGAATACATATATTCTGTACACTCACTTATGTGAACACGAGATGAGAAGGATGAAGCGAATAAAAGAGAGCGATACGAAATGTCACGCAGTGGAGAAGGCATGTGAGCCAACTCGATTTAATCAAGCGTTAATAGATATTTATAGTCGGTTAGAAATAAATTACAGACATTCTATGAATAGGATAAAAAAAGTGCATATAAGCTCGTATAAAAACAATCAAGGTTGATAAGTGAATAATTAACAAGGTCAAAACGTGACTCAAGAAGAATGGATACATTGGTCTGTCCACAAGCTAGAATAAATTATATGAACTTAACATAGTAATGGACACTACATAGCCCCCTTTGTGGAAAATAGCACATTTATCTTGAAAAATGTCTGTTTTCCAAAATAATACAGAAATAATATACGTTTAATATGAGTGAAAAAAATTGTATTATATCTGACAGAGTATAGTTTCATGTGAAGAGTGAGTATATGATACGAAAGTATGCTACTAATGTGAAAATGTACATGAATATCACGTAAAGGCACTGACAAAAGTGGAAACGATAGCATGGGATTATGAGCCAAATAATAGGTGTGACTATCTGGATATCAAAATAACATGTTCGTATAAGCGATTCAAAATATTGTGAAAACAGAATCATAAATCGATGGTGAATATGGAAACGGAATACATCCGGTAAAATTAAGATACGGACACAAGAAACGACTAAGAAAATTACGGTGAATAAATATTTTAAGATGGATAATGTCTAGCATTGGAATTCAGAAAGCGCGTCTCGTCTTATTTGAAACTCGTCAGCTGGATATATCTCCATCTCAGAGTTGAATCATATATAAACATCAACTCCGAGATGAAGATGCATCCAAACTTCTACCGAAAGTTTGTGTTGATGATATCGTTCAGAAGAATGATGAAAGCTTAACAACTAAACTATCCAGCTCAGAGAATAAAACTCTATCGAAATCATCCTCCTGAGCTAAAAATCTTTTCTACCATCTCAAGGTGCATTCTTCTGACAAGTTCCAAATAGAACGAAACGCGCATCCATCTGTATTCCACTGCTAAACACTATCCATCTTTCCTCATAATACTTGTGAATTAAGTCAATATCAAGTCAATACTCACAGTATGCATATATATATATGAATAACAAGCTGGTCAATTTCAGTTCTAAACATCAATATGAAGATCCGAATAAACAATATCAAACGAAATAAGTTATATTTAAAATATAAATCAATTGAAATCCTTTTATATTTACTTACTTACGCCTGTTACTCGTAATGGAGCACAGGCCGCAGACCAGCATTCTATAACACACACTGTCCTGGGCATTCTTTTCTAGCTCCATCGAATTCTTGTTCATTTTTCTCATGTCTGTTTCCATTTCCCGGCCTAATGTGTTCTTTGGTCTTCCACCTCTCCTCCCCATTTGGCCTTGAGGATTCCATGTGAGGGCTTGTCTTGTGACGCAGCTGAGTGTTTTCCTCAACGTGTGTCCTATCCATTTCCAGCACATCTTCCTGACTTCTTCCTCTGCTGGGCTCTGGTTTGTTCTCTCCCACGGTACGTTGTTGCTAATAGTGTCCGGCCAACAAATCCGAAGTATTTCGCGTAGAAAACTGTTAATAAACACCTGTATCTTCTGGACGATGGCTTTCGTACTTCTTCAGGTTTCTGCTCCATACAGTAGAACTGTCTTGACATTTGTGGTGAAAATTCCGACCTTGGTGTTGGTTGACTATTACTAAAATATTTATTTATGAAAATCATTCTATTTTTTTTTCATTCTTTTATTCTTTTTTATAGATTTACCAAAATTTATCATGGAACCAATGGATAGAATTTATTATTCATCTAATCATCCATCACAATTTATTACTAAATTACAATTATATGCATTAATTACACCGAAAAATGCTACAATACAACTTGGTGCTGTACATAAAGATAAACCAAATATGATTATATATTTACCGACAGTTATAGAATATTCAACGGAATCATATTCAATGACATTTGCTCAAACTCATGCTAAAATTCAATCTATTTCATTCAATGATCATTTAGATCATTTAAATGATCTCATTTCATATATAAATAATTTTGATAATAGTAATAGTAATGGTAATAATAATAATAATAATATTAATATTAATATGAAAGAAAATATCAATCTTTGGTCAATTACTGTATATAATTTTTTACCAGATATGAAATTATTAGTCTTAGCAACTACAAATTATGGTACAATGACTAGTCATTTAATTGATTTGAAAACAAGTGGTAAGTTATTTGTCTGTTTTTTTTTTTTGTTCTTTTTTTGTTATTCAATCAGTATCCATTTCATAATAGATTTATTTACTTCATGTTAGTTGAACTGATAAAACAGTAATGAATTAATGAATTAGTCAGATGTAATACAGTCGTTTTCTGATGTTGGCGTGTGCGAAACTGAAGGATCTAGGTTTGGATCTCGTTATGGTGTGTACTATTGATATCGACATAAGTAGGGTATGATGTTAGTCGTGAATAGAATGTCTGGTAGCAGAGAGACAAGAGGATCGAACAGTAAAGAATGGAAACAGAATGCAAATTGTATGAAAATGTAAGAACAATGAAGTCTAAGTCATTCTGAGACAGTTGATGGACATTTTGTAAATTAGGCATTTATGATATGATTGTTAGATTTTATTAACAAGTCCTGTAATTTCATGTCAAACACATCCGATTGTCCCCATTTGTCTTCTTGTTCACTAAACCGTAAGTGGGATCGTGGATGTACATTGCTGAGGAGTTCAACAATTTGACGAAATGGCCATTCAGTGCTTCAAGGTATTCAGTGGTTGTTTAATATCAGTTGATTCATGATCTCAATAAAAAAAATTGTAATGCATTGATGAACAGATAGTACTTTTTTAGGGTTTAAAATTAAAATGATCTGAATTTGTATGAAAGAGTTTTTGTATCATATACTGATCTTAACACTGAAAAACGTATTGTGAATCTTTATTATTTATGTAAAGAATAAGTAAATTTTTCAAATTTTTACTTATTTATTTAAACACACAAATATTGGTACAAAATGGCACCAAATAGATATGCACCACGTAAAGCATTGGATTTGTGTGACGGCTGTGATACTGCCCGGATGACCAGACTAAAGCAGTTGGTTTTCTTAGGGAGCCACACACGAAGCCGTCGACCTAAAGGTCTGATCCATAAGGCAACGTAAGGAGATGCAGTCCCGTGGTAGCAGGTGACCAACGATTAGTTCATACTCCATTTGTTCCCTCAGGATACTGGAGCCCATGTGCACGAATGGTTTGGAATCAGGGATTTCCAACTCATTTAGGTGAATACTCTATATACACCAACCCGGTTGAATCACCAGATATTGGCTTCCCGTTCTCTCAACTTCGCAAACAACACCCCTGGCTCGAGAAGGCAGTGAGTAGGACTTCCCTGTCAGTGGTAGAATGCACGTGGCCATGTGATAGCATTTCGAGAGGGAGAGCTGACTCTCCCCACTCTCGGCCGTACCAGGGCATTTGAGGGCTTCAAATTTTTTAGTTTGTTGTTTTACAGTATCTATTTATATTACCGGGATTCTAATTGAATAAAAACTGATTGAACTATCCTGAAGTCACATTTAAAGTCTCTCAAGACCATTGATATTATTATAGTTTCACTAGTAGGCTCAACAACAATGACGTAGTAACAATGCTAACAAAATTTAATGCTCTCACAGTATTATAAGATATTTACACTAATATTTATCACTGTAAGGTGACCAAATCGAAATGTATCTTGTTTTATTTCTAATCAAATTCAATAGAGAATGTTGAAATCATCTCACTAGTACTTTACAACATAAGTCAAAGGGAAAAGAATTTGCCGTGTTTTTTGTATTATGCATAAGAGAAATAACACTTTCAACTACCTTGGTTCAAAGTAGCTGCGTGTAAATACTGAATATCCTCGAAATAATAAGTTAAAAACGATGGATAATCAGAACATCACTTGAAAAATTTGTTTTCTCAAACAAGAATCATGTAGAAAATATAGATAGTTCGAACCCACTTAGGAAATACACAGTACGATTTTCGTTTATTTACCACACATCATCAAGCTTAGATTATTTGTAAAGAGTAATGTGGTTATAACTGTAAATAAATAAATATTTTATAAGCACTTTTTCCACTAATGTTTATAAAGTAATCAGAAGGCCGTTTTGTGGAGATTTTAGTGACTTAATAGTTGGATTCATGGGTCTGGCTTCAAGAGGTATAACATGGAGTTCTAATGATCAGTGGAGTTGAGCCAGGTCTGTTGTCAGATAGTAATTCACCGAGGACAATGGTGAATGTGTTCGTCCGCAAGAGCAAAACATATCCTGGTTCCGGAATCGCGGATGTGCACTACTGAGGAGTCCCATACTAGGACGAGATGACCGTCCTGTACTTTTGGGTTTTTCATGGTGGTCTAGCTTCAGTTGATTTATGAATTCAACTATTAGTTTATGAAATAACACAATTCTATTTTTACTACAGAGGCATAACAAACGATTTAATAAAACAGAGTTAAATGACATCAAGAAAACAGGTTGATGTCAGACATGAAATGAATTTGTATACATTTTCATTCGTGCATTTTATTTTGTACTTAATTTGGACTATTCTACAAATACACTAACCTCTAATTGGTTGTTTGATTTTAAGAGAACAAAGACATTTTCATCTTTAAAAAACAAGGAATAGATGAATGAACATTCATTTTTAATTGGCTTATCATCAGGCTTTAACAGTTAGGATTCCATGATTATTATATTACAATAGCCCAAATAAAGGGTTATTTGAATGAATGAATAAATGGAACATCGTTATCTATTAAAATAGTGAAGTTTTTGCATCAGTTATAGTTTCAACTCTTGTAAAATGTATCATTTTTATACTTGACAGATTAGTTAAGAAAGAGGTAGGAAAATTCATTACAAAATGTCAACTTATATTCACTAAAATAAATATATAATATCACAGATTGAAATCATGAGTCAATTGAAGCTAGACCACCATGGAAAACCTGGAAGCACTGGATGGCCGTCTCGTCCTAGTATGGGACTTCTCAGCAGTGTGCATCCACGATCCCGCACCTCGCGAGATTCGAACCCAGGACGCATCAGTCTCGCGCCAGGCGCTTAACCAACTAGACTACTGAGACTCCAGGTTTTCCATGGTGGTCTAGCTTCGAATGACTCATGATTTCAATCAGTGAAATTTCTAAAATCTCCACAAACCCCTTCTGATGAATATATAATATATAAGAAAAGTAGTCTAATGTCAGGTTGACTGAGGTGATAGTAAATATAATATTTTGTGTGAATATCATAAATCATCATATAACAAAAGTATAGGGATTCGAACCGAGAAAACTACATTATCTATACAGATAAAATTTGTAACGTCCCTAATCTTTCCATAGCCAGATAAATTTTAACACATACATCCAGATCCTCCGTTGATTTGCTTTTATTAACTTTCTTCAATAGTTAGCTATTTAAACACTTTATATTACATAATTTGAATAACTATTGTTTATTTCTTCAAGTTTTCACCTACTTCCTATAGTGAAACGTTGATTCAAGACTGTTTTTCTAGTTACTACTGGTATATTCTATATCGATTTGTTCATTTCATTTATTATGTCCAGTTATCTAATCTATTTCAAATGACAAATAAACTGCCCTGATTGAGTGAATATCAGCTTTTAACATTTACACATAAATATTATTGTATATTAGTGTAGAGCTTGATGCAGATCTAACTGAAAGTGATATTATTCGCCTATATTTATTATTCTGATAAAGGAAATATAACAATGATTGGAAATTCATATAAATTCGGCAAGATGAATGTGTAAATAAGATTGGAGCAGGATAGAGACAAAACGTAATAATGTATTTCATAATAAGAGGAGTTAAAGTTCACAATGTATAGCTTATGTTTGGGACAACTAAGTTATGAGCCAAGGTGAACAGTACAGGTTTCAAAGTACTCATTTTGGATCCCTATAAAGTAACTGAATACAGTTATTTACCGAAATATTTCTTTGACTTTTGAATTTTCTACATATAGTTTTCAATTACAGACATTTAAGAAAGAAAATGACTCTGAATTTACTACGAATTCCTATTAACATCTTGATTAAATTTTTGGATTAAGACCATGAACCGATTGATATTAAACCACTATTGAAAACGTGGAAGCACTGGACGGCCTTTTAGTCCTATTCTTGGACTCTTCAGCAGTGCGCATCCATTAACATTAACACCGTTGGATGTCGGCTCAGTGGTCTAGAGGTGAACCGTTCGCGCGCGAGACCGAATGCTCTGGGTTCGAATCCTGCGAGCGAGATTACGGATCCGCACTGCTGAAGAGTGCCACAATAAGACGAAACGGTCGTCCAGTGCTTCCAGGTTTTCAATGGTGATCTAACACCAATCGGTTCATGATCTCAATCAAAAATCTAATAATCTCCACAATCCCAAACTGATATAGCTTAAAGTTTAGTTCGAAATGGTTTTGAAAATGTGTACTACATCAATTAATGTAGGAATCATAGTCTAATTGTATGTGTACAAAATTCTATTTGCTGCAAACGTAGAATAATAAATGTAAACATATTATTTATATATTCACCATCGGTATTTACTATCAGATAGAACATACTAAATCAAGTCAAACGCAGACTCACCCAATTCATTAATTATCTGAAAATTGAGAGTTCCTCTCCGCTATTCGTTCTATAGTGTGAAATTATATAGTTTTAACAGTTAAATTCATGAGTCAATCTAAGCTAAATGACCATTGAAAACCTGGAAACTCTGGACAGCCGTCTCGTCCTACTATGAGGTGTGCTACTGATGTCGATATATATTGGTAGTATAATATCACCAGTCAAAAGTGAAAAGCCTGGCGACAGAAGAGAACGAGAACAGATAGTGATTGGTATGTAAACGAAGAAACAGTCAATTCTGAGATAATTGATTGACAATTTTTAAATGATGTATTTACTGTATAGTCCTCAGATTTTACTAAGATAATCTGTTATTTTGTGTCCAAATACATTGAATTGTCCCTACTTGTATTCTCGTCCACTACATCAGTATGAGACCCTCCGGTGTTGTGTATTCTCGATCTCACACAAGAGGCTCAAACCCAGAACTTTTGGTCTCGCACGTGAATGCTTAATTCTGAATTCGAGTCCTGAGTGCCAGATCATGGATG